TAAAACCGTGTGGCATTTTTAGAATCAGCATGTTATCTACGTTACTCTACGTTAATTTCTTTAGCATTTTCTTTTGTGTAACTGTATCAGCACGAAAATTGTGATACTGGCCACATGAAAAAAAATTAGCGTCATGATTATGAGTCCCCGTTCAGACACTGTTTGAAATCGAGGCTCATGGAATAAACTCTGTGTGTGCGTCTGTGTGTGTTCGTCCGAACCTATATCTTATTCATACCTGGACCAATTACATTTAAACCCGACACCTACATCATCAAAAATCAAGCATTACGGATTCAAAATGGCTGACTGGTGGCCATTTTGTTTGAATGAATGCAGTTGTTGAGCCATATCTCTTACATGCTTTGACTGATTGTTTTCAAATATATTCGACATATATATTCATATTTTCAGCTCCGCTGTCGACACAGCGGGGCTGTTCATATTACTGATTGTCCGGCGCCGGTGTCCGTTGTCGTCAACTTTACAATTTCAACTTCTTCTCCGAAACCGTAAGTCAGAATATTTTCAAATCTGATATGCAAGTACTTTGGATGGTTCTTTCGCAGATTTGTTCATTTCATGTCAAAATCTCAAATTCTCTAATTTTGATGAATATTTTTGTCATTTTTGGTAACAAGTGATATTTTCAACTTGTTAAAAACCTCAAGTCTGATTGCTTTGATATTACATACATGTATATAAAAACTACATGTGAACCTCTCTCAGATTTGTTCATTTCATGATGATCGATATCTTCAATTTTCTAATTTTTATGAATATTTTTGGTGAAAAGTGATATTTTCGACTTTTTGTTGAAAACAGTCTGATTGCTTTGATGCTATACATATTGTTTATTTTCTAATGATATCTTCAGTTCTTAATTGAAATGTGCATTGCTAACAGCAGAGCTATCTCAACCAACAGGCTGCTTGTATATATACATCATGACTACGGTACATGTTATACAGATGTTTTGATTTGACAATCTGATTCAAAATGGCCAACCGGTGGCCATTTTGTTTTAATATATGCTGTTTCAGAGCAATATCTCTCAATACTTGTTTGACGATCAGATACAAATGTCAATCATTTTAATGTTAAACAATCATAATAATATTCCTGACATGTTTATATTCCAGCTATATTACTATAAACAAAACTATATATTCTAAATTTGACATGCATGGCTTGTTATTTGTAGTTTGTAATGATGATGAATTAAGTGTTGGAGGCTCGTGTTATCTCCTGGGAACTGGAAGAGGCTCTTGGTATGAAGCTGACGCATACTGCAAATCGGTGGACGTTAGTTATTACCTAGCAGAAATTGAAACTGCAGAAGAACACAGTTACCTCCAGGGTAACCTTACATTGTTACCACAATCAAGATGGCGATTCTGGCTCGCTATGATACAGTACAATGTTGGAAATTGGACGTGGATTTCAGGAGAATTATTAACATTTGATATATGGGAAGATGGCTATCCATCTGGTCAGTACCATTGTGGTGCTTTAGTCAGAGGTGGGGAGAATAAGAAGGAACATTTCCGTATGCGAGATGTAGAATGTGATTCTACTCGTTATATTTTATGTGAAAGAGGTAAATCAATATTTAATATTCTCTATATTTCAACATAGTTAGGCATATCATTTTCAATTTTTAACCTCATATCATCAATATACATATCTTGAAATGTATTCAGAGTTATCACATGTTTATTTTGAAAGGCTATATCAAAGTTATCAAATAATAGTTGGCTTATGGTTATGTGCTTATATTCTGTTATTTTCAGGTGGCCGAATTACATGTGCTGATCCTGGTAACTTGGCTAATGGAAAAATATCACCAGATATTGAATATCCAGCTGCATATCAACAAATATTGAGTTTTACATGTGATGATGGTTATGAATTAATGGGAGCTTCTACAATTTTTTGCAATATTGATGAATGTGAACCAGGATATAAATGGAGTGACAGTATTCCAGAGTGTGTACCAAAAGGCAAGTATATTGTTAAAGTTTAATAGAATCACAACTCACACCAATGTTATATGTGTACAATTGAAATATATTGTCTCCTTCATCGCTGATAGCCAAATTAAATAAAACCATCTATTGATGTGAGTGGATCCAATTCATCCGCTTATGTCTTTTTTATTCAAGTCAGAAAAAATGCTGTGTTTACTACAACCAGTAGTGTTGATGGCCATAAATGCAGAGTGTTTAAATTCCATTTTATTTTTGGCTATTTCACCTCCTGTGTGACCTTTCTCCATGAGCCTGGCTTCCAATAGTTGCTTATTTTTTAATCATAGTATGAACACTTGAATGAGTGTTTACTTGTTGATGTGTTTAATTTTGTATAAAATATGGTGTTTTGTACTGGACATGCGTGGTTGGTCGGTCGTATTTTGTTGAATTAACAAGTAAGGGTAGTTTCTCATTAAAAAAGGAGTGTTTGAATTGCGGATCCTTAAGTCTGGTAATTTTAAATTGCTCATCTTGTAACTCGGCGATGGCTCATGTGTATGCCCATTTTTGTGTTATTTTGTTGATAAGTGTGTATTATATATTGCATCAAAATTTTACACATCAAGCAGGAACACGAGTATATCAACAATTGGCTTCATAAACATATGATCCATATACTGATTAATGGTTATGAGTATGTGTAGCTTAATCAACATATCTCTGTAAGACATTCCGTGTGTAACAGATTCTTGTATTTGATTTATTTTCTTAGACTATTGCCCCACCCCTGATTTTCCAACACATGTTGGAGTTGCTGACTACTCTTTGACTTTTCCTGTGGAGAATGGTACTGTTATTGAACTGAAATGTAATCCAGCACGATATGAGATGATTGGAGATCCACTGACACTATGTATAAATATGACATGGACAACAATGCCTAATTGTACAGGTGAATACTATTACACAAGAAAATGTGGGATATGTAAAAAACAATCATAATTGTTTTATAACCATGCAACAATTAATGATGCATCATCATCAGTGTTTGATTAATGTATTACTTTTTTTTTCAAGAAACTACACTTGAACCAATGACTTCCACAGCTGAGTATGTTACTGACATTATATCATTGGAACCAACCACTGATTTGACATCATTAGAACCGACCACTGATTTCACATCATTAGAACCAACCACTGATTTCACATCATTGGAACCAACCACTGAATTCACATCACTGGAACCAACCACTGATTTCACATCATTAGAACCAACCACTGATTTCACATCATTGGAACCAACCACTGAATTCACATCACTGGAACCAACCACTGATTTCACATCATTGGAACCAACCACTGATTTGACATCATTAGAACCGACCACTGATTTCACATCACTGGAACCAACCACTGAATTCACATCATTGGAACCAACCACTGATTTCACATCATTGGAACCGACCACTGATTTCACATCACTGGAACCAACCACTGAATTCACATCATTGGAACCAACCACTGAATTCACATCACTGGAACCAACCACTGATTTCACATCATTGGAACCAACCACTGATTTCACATCATTGGAAGCAACCACTGATTTTATATCATTAGAACCAACCACTGATTTCATATCCATGGAAGCAACCACTGATTTCACATCATTGGAACCAACCACTGATTTCACATCATTGGAACTGACCACTGATTTCACATTGGAAGCAACCACTGATTTCACATCATTGGAACCAACCACTGATTTCACATCATTAGAACTGACAACTGACTTGATGTCATCAACATTGCCACCTAGTACTGAAATAACATCAATGGGAACAACAACTGATATTATTAGTCCTCATACTTCAACATCTGTAACTCCCCATAAATCTACTACAGATGCTGCAACATCATTTCAAACAACAGCAGGTAAACAAATATTGATTCCTTAATCTTGTAATAACATATTACATTATACTCTTATAGTCAGGTTACCCTTTTGACAAACGTGTTTTAGCTATTTTGAGTTGTTGATAAACAAGGCCATTGTATCATATTAGTAACATCAAGTGTCATGCCATGTTGTTCTGTGTATTATATGTCTATGGTCAGCAATATTTACTTCAAATTCTATTATTGTGATTAATATTTCGTTAAAACGATTCTTCACCAAGCTGTATTTTATTTGAGTCTTCACACTATAGACATAATGCAACCTTAGTCTCCATTGAGGATATTGTTTCGACAATTTACATATATATCTGATGAATGTTCCTACAATATCAGATTTATTAATATGAGTGTAATAAATCTTATATTGTTGGTCACGAATTTGATATCCTGATTATTTAATGTATCCATACTTCAATCAGTGTATAAATCTTTATTCTGTGTCCTGGTATTAACATTTAGAGCCAAGTCAATGTAGCAATCCAGGACATCCTCCCAATGGTAAACTGATAAATACAACAAACATATCATTTCCTGCCATACCTGGTACTGAAGTCAGCTATGAATGCTGTGATGGATTTGAAGCTGCATCTGATACTTTGATATGTGTGGAAGACAACGGTGGCGCATTTTGGAAACCGGCGTATCCGGTCTGCATTCCAGGTATGCTCATTAAATTCACCAATTTACATCTACATAGATTGAGGGATATATAAGTAAACTTCTTATATAATGTAGACATACCTGACATTTGAGTTGATTGAGTAAAAGCTACGGGGAATGAAGATTGATAATATGTTACCATGATACTATCACAATAGAATACTACATGAAGACAGTAAGGGGATCTTATTCAACAATGCATAGCAAATGTTAGAGTGGAAAATTTGAGGTATTCTCTGATAAATTACAATGAGGCAAATTTTGTACTGTGCAAATGCTTTGCGGCCATGCAGTGCCGAGATTCTATTTCTGTTGACCAGTAGAGCTTTTGTGTTCGATGTGAACAAAGAAAAGTGTTCAAAAGTAGTGTTTATCCCATCCATGCACTCACACTCATTTATGTTTTGTGCACGTGACTTTTGCCAACTGAAGTGCAACGTTGTTACAGCAGATTGCAAGCTGGTTGTCATAAGTGTAAAGAAATGATGTTGCACTGTGACAGCATATGAGGAATAAGTGGGTATACATGTATGTTACAGAACGAATGCAGAATAGGAAATTTTATTGTTTCATGCCAGATGAATAATAATTAGAGATAAACCATGCACGGGTAAAACCGTGTGGCATTTTTAGAATCAGTATGTTATCTACGTTACTCTACGTTAATTTCTTTAGCATTTTCTTTTGTGTAACTGTATCAGCACGAAAATTGTGATACTGGCCACATGAAAACAAATTAGCGTCATGACTATGAGTCCCCGTTCAGACACTGTTTGAAATCGAGGCTCTTGGAATAAACTCTGTGTGTGCCTCTTTGTGTGTTCGTCCGAACCTATATCTTATTCATACCTGGACCAATTACATTTAAACCCGACACCTACATCATCAAAAATCAAGCATTACGGATTCAAAATGGCTGACTGGTGGCCATTTTGTTTGAATGAATGCAGTTGTTGAGCAATATCTCTTAAATGCTTTGACTGATTGTTTTCAAATATATTCGACATATATATTCATATTTTCAGCTCCGCTGTCGACACAGCGGGGCTGTTCATATTACTGATTGTCCGGCGCCGTCGTCCGGTGTCCGTTGTCGTCAACTTTACAATTTCAACTTCTTCTCTGAAACCGTAAGTCAGAATATTTTCAAATCTGATATGCAAGTACTTTGGATGGTTCTTTCGCAGATTTGTTCATTTCATGTCAAAATCTCAAATTCTCTAATTTTGATGAATATTTTTGTCATTTTTGGTAACAAGTGATATTTTCAACTTGTTAAAAACCTCAAGTCTGATTGCTTTGATATTACATACATGTATATGAAAACTACATGTGAACCTCTCAGATTTGTTCATTTCATGATGATCGATATCTTCAATTTTCTAATTTTTATGAATATTTTTGGTGAAAAGTGATATTTTCGACTTTTTGTTGAAAACAGTCTGATTGCTTTGATGCTATACATAGTATTTATTTTCTAATGATATCTTCAGTTCTTAATTGAAATGTGCATTGCTAACAGCAGAGCTATCTCAACCAACAGGCTGCTTGTATATATACATCATGACTACGGTACATGTATATATACAGATGTTTTGATTTGACAATCTGATTCAAAATGGCCAACCGGTGGCCATTTTGTTTTAATATATGCTGTTTCAGAGCAATATCTCTCAATACTTGTTTGACGATCAGATACAAATGTCAATCATTTTAATGTTAAACAATCATAATCATATTCCTGACATGTTTATATTCCAGCTATATTACTATAAACAAAACTATATATTTTAAATTTGACATGCATGGCTTGTTATTTGTAGTTTGTAATGATGATGAATTAAGTGTTGGAGGCTCGTGTTATCTCCTGGGAACTGGAAGAGGCTCTTGGTATGAAGCTGACGCATACTGCAAATCGGTGGACGTTAGTTATTACCTAGCAGAAATTGAAACTGCAGAAGAACACAGTTACCTCCAGGGTAACCTTACATTGTTACCACAATCAAGGTGGCGATTCTGGCTCGCTATGATACAGTACAATGTTGGAAATTGGACGTGGATTTCAGGAGAATTATTAACATTTGATATATGGGAAGATGGCTATCCATCTGGTCAGTACCATTGTGGTGCTTTAGTCAGAGGTGGGGAGAATAAGAAAGAACATTTCCGTATGCGAGATGTAGAATGTGATTCTACTCGTTATATTTTATGTGAAAGAGGTAAATCAATATTAATATTCTCTATATTTCAACATAGTTAGGCATATAATTTTCAATTTTTAACCTCATATCATCAATATACATACATTGTATCTTGAAATGTATTCAGAGTTATCACATGTTTATTTTGAATGGCTATATCAAAGTTATCAAATAATAGTTGGCTTATGGTTATATTCTGTTATTTTCAGGTGGCCGAATTACATGTGCTGATCCTGGTAACTTGGCTAATGGAAAAATATCACCAGATATTGAATATCCAGCTGCATATCAACAAATATTGAGTTTTACATGTGATGATGGTTATGAATTAATGGGAGCTTCTACAATTTTTTGCAATATTGATGAATGTGAACCAGGATATAAATGGAGTGACAGTATTCCAGAGTGTGTACCAAAAGGCAAGTATATTGTTAAAGTTTAATAGAATCACAACTCACACCAATGTTATATGTGTACAATTGAAATATATTGTCTCTTTCATCGCTGATAGCCAAATTAAATAAAACCATCTATTGATGTGAGTGGATCCAAATCATCCACTTACGTCTTTTTTATTCAAGTCAGAAAAAATGCTGTGTTTACTACAACCAGTAGTGTTGATGGCCATAAATGCAGAGTGTTTAAATTCCATTTTATTTTTGGCTATTTCACCTCCTGTGTGACCTTTCTCCATGAGCCTGGCTTCCAATAGTTGCTTATTTTTTAATCATAGTATGAACACTTGAATGAGTGTTTACTTGTTGATGTGTTTAATTTTGTATAAAATATGGTGTTTTGTACTGGACATGCGTGGTTGGTCGGTCGTATTTTGTTGAATTAACAAGTAAAAAAGGAGTGTTTGAATTGCGGATCCTTAAGTCTGGTAATTTTAAATTGCTCATCTTGTAACTCGGCGATGGCTCATATGTACATGTGTATGCCCATTTTTGTGTTATTTTGTTGATAAGTGTGTATTATATATTGCATCAAAATTCTACACATCAAGCAGGAACATGAGTATGTCAACAATTGGCTTCATAAACATATGATCCATATACTGATTAATGGTTATGAGTATGTGTAGCTTAATCAACATATCTCTGTAAGACATTCCGTGTGTAACAGATTCTTGTATTTGATTTATTTTCTTAGACTATTGCCCCACCCCTGATTTTCCAACGCATGTTGGAGTTGCTGATTACTCTGTGACTTTTCCTGTGGAGAATGGCACTGTTATTGAGCTGAAATGTAATCCAGCACGATATGAGATGATTGGAGATCCACTGGCACTATGTATAAATATGACATGGACAACAATGCCTAATTGTACAGGTGAATACTTTTACACGAGAAAATTTAGGATACGTGGAAAACAATCTTAATTGTTTTACAACCAACAATTAATGATGCATCATCATCAGTGTTTGATTAATGTATTACTTTTTTTTTCAAGAAACTACACTTGAACCAATGACTTCTACAGCTGAATATGTTACTGACATTATATCATTGGAACCAACCACTGATTTGACATCATTAGAACCGACCACTGAGTTCACATCATTAGAACCAACCACTGATTTCACATCATTGGAACCAACCACTGAATTCACATCACTGGAACCAACCACTGATTTCACATCATTGGAACCAACCACTGATTTCACATCATTGGAACCAACCACTGACTTCACATCATTGGAACTGACCACTGATTTCACATTGGAACCAACCACTGATTTCACATCACTGGAACCAACCACTGATTTCACATCATTGGAACCAACCACTGATTTCACATCATTGGAACCAACCACTGAATTCACATCACTGGAACCAACCACTGATTTCACATCATTAGAACCAACCACTGAATTCACTTCACTGGAACCAACCACTGATTTTACATCATTGGAACCAACCACAGATTTCACATCATTGGAACCAACCACTGAATTCACATCACTGGAACCAACCACTGATTTCACATCATTGGAACCAACCACTGATTTCACATCATTAGAACCAACCACTGAATTCACATCACTGGAAGCAACCACTGATTTCACATCATTGGAAGCAACCACTGATTTCACATCATTAGAACCAACCACTGACTTCACATCATTGGAACTGACCACTGATTTCACATTGGAACCAACCACTGATTTCACATCATTGGAACCAACCACTGATTTCACATCATTAGAACTGACAACTGACTTGATGTCATCAACATTGCCACCTAGTACTGAAATAACATCAATGGGAACAACAACTGATATTACTAGTCCTCATACTTCAACATCTGTAACTCCCCATAAATCTACTACAGATGCTGCAACATCATTTCAAACAACAGCAGGTAAACAAATATTGATTCCTTAATCTTGTAATAACATATTACATTATACTCCTATTGTCATGCAGGTTACCCTTTTGACAAATGTGTTTTAGCTATTTTGAGTTGTTGATAAACAAGGCTATTGTATCATATTAGTAACATCAAGTGTCATGCCATGTTGTTCTGTGTATTATATGTCTATGGTCAGCAATATTTACTTCAAATTCTATTATTGTGATTAATATTTCGTTAAAACGATTCTTCACCAAGCTGTATTTTGTTTGAGTCTTCACACTATAGACATAATGCAACCTTAGTCTCCATTGAGGATATTGTTTCGACAATTTACATATATACATGTATCTGATGAATGTTCCTACAATATCAGATTTATTAATATGAGTGTAATAAATCTTATATTGTTGGTCACGAATTTGATATCCTGGTTATTTAATGTATCCATACTTCAATCAGTGTATAAATCTTTATTCTGTGTCCTGGTATTAACATTTAGAGCCAAGTCAATGTAGCAATCCAGGACATCCTCCCAATGGTAAACTGATAAATACAACAAACATATCATTTCCTGCCATACCTGGTACTGAAGTCAGCTATGAATGCTGTGATGGATTTGAAGCTGCATCTGATACTTTGATATGTGTGGAAGACAACGGTGGCGCATTTTGGAAACCGGCGTATCCGGTCTGCATTCCAGGTATGCTCATTAAATTCACCAATTTACATCTACATAGATTGAGGGATATATAAGTAAACTTCTTATATAATGTAGACATACCTGACATTTGAGTTGATTGAGTAAAAGCTACGGGGAATGAAGATTGATAATATGTTACCATGATACTATCACAATAGAATACTACATGAAGACAGTAAGGGGATCTTATTCAACAATGCATAGCAAATGTTAGAGTGGAAAATTTGAGGTATTCTCTGATAAATTACAATGAGGCAAATTTTGTACTGTGCAAATGCTTTGCGGCCATGCAGTGCCGAGATTCTATTTCTGTTGACCAGTAGAGCTTTTGTGTTCGATGTGAACAAAGAAAAGTGTTCAAAAGTAGTGTTTATCCCATCCATGCACTCACACTCATTTATGTTTTGTGCACGTGACTTTTGCCAACTGAAGTGCAACGTTGTCACAGCAGATTGCAAGCTGGTTGTCATAAGTGTAAAGAAATGATGTTGCACTGTGACAGCATATGAGGAATAAGTGGATATACATGTATGTTACAGAACGAATGCAGAATAGGAAATTTGATTGTTTCATGCCAGATGAATAATAATTAGAGATAAACCATGCACGGGTAAAACCGTGTGACATTTTTAGAATCAGCATGTTATCTACGTTACTCTACGTTAATTTCTTTAGCATTTTCTTTTGTGTAACTGTATCAGCACGAAAATTGTGATACTGGCCACATGAAAAAAAAATTAGCGTCATGATTATGAGTCCCCGTTCAGACACTGTTTGAAATCGAGGCTCATGGAATAAACTCTGTGTGTGCGTCTGTGTGTGTTCGTCCGAACCTATATCTTATTCATACCTGGACCAATTACATTTAAACCCGACACCTACATCATCAAAAATCAAGCATTACGGATTCAAAATGGCTGACTGGTGGCCATTTTGTTTGAATGAATGCAGTTGTTGAGCCATATCTCTTACATGCTTTGACTGATTGTTTTCAAATATACTCGACATATATATTCATATTTTCAGCTCCGCTGTCGACACAGCGGGGCTGTTCATATTACTGATTGTCCGGCGCCGGTGTCCGTTGTCGTCAACTTTACAATTTCAACTTCTTCTCCGAAACCGTAAGTCAGAATATTTTCAAATCTGATAATGATATGCAAGTACTTTGGATGGTTCTTTCGCAGATTTGTTCATTTCATGTCAAAATCTCAAATTCTCTAATTTTGATGAATATTTTTGTCATTTTTGGTAACAAGTGATATTTTCAACTTGTTAAAAACCTCAAGTCTGATTGCTTTGATATTACATACATGTATAAAAAAACTACATGTGAACCTCTCTCAGATTTGTTCATTTCATGATGATCGATATCTTCAATTTTCTAATTTTCTAATTTTTATGAATATTTTTGGTGAAAAGTGATATTTTCGACTTTTTGTTGAAAACAGTCTGATTGCTTTGATGCTATACATATTGTTTATTTTCTAATGATATCTTCAGTTCTTAATTGAAATGTGCATTGCTAACAGCAGAGCTATCTCAACCAACAGGCTGCTTGTATATATACATCATGACTACGGTACATGTTATACAGATGTTTTGATTTGACAATCTGATTCAAAATGGCCAACCGGTGGCCATTTTGTTTTAATATATGCTGTTTCAGAGCAATATCTCTCAATACTTGTTTGACGATCAGATACAAATGTCAATCATTTTAATGTTAAACAATCATAATAATATTCCTGACATGTTTATATTCCAGCTATATTACTATAAACAAAACTATATATTCTAAATTTGACATGCATGGCTTGTTATTTGTAGTTTGTAATGATGATGAATTAAGTGTTGGAGGCTCGTGTTATCTCCTGGGAACTGGAAGAGGCTCTTGGTATGAAGCTGACGCATACTGCAAATCGGTGGACGTTAGTTATTACCTAGCAGAAATTGAAACTGCAGAAGAACACAGTTACCTCCAGGGTAACCTTACATTGTTACCACAATCAAGGTGGCGATTCTGGCTCGCTATGATACAGTACAATGTTGGAAATTGGACGTGGATTTCAGGAGAATTATTAACATTTGATATATGGGAAGATGGCTATCCATCTGGTCAGTACCATTGTGGTGCTTTAGTCAGAGGTGGGGAGAATAAGAAGGAACATTTCCGTATGCGAGATGTAGAATGTGATTCTACTCGTTATATTTTATGTGAAAGAGGTAAATCAATATTAATATTCTCTATATTTCAACATAGTTAGGCATATAATTTTCAATTTTTAACCTCATATCATCAATATACATACATTGTATCTTGAAATGTATTCAGAGTTATCACATGTTTATTTTGAAAGGCTATATCAAAGTTATCAAATAATAGTTGGCTTATGGTTATGTGCTTATATTCTGTTATTTTCAGGTGGCCGAATTACATGTGCTGATCCTGGTAACTTGGCTAATGGAAAAATATCACCAGATATTGAATATCCAGCTGCATATCAACAAATATTGAGTTTTACATGTGATGATGGTTATGAATTAATGGGAGCTTCTACAATTTTTTGCAATATTGATGAATGTGAACCAGGATATAAATGGAGTGACAGTATTCCAGAGTGTGTACCAAAAGGCAAGTATATTGTTAAAGTTTAATAGAATCACAACTCACACCAATGTTATATGTGTACAATTGAAATATATTGTCTCCTTCATCGCTGATAGCCAAATTAAATAAAACCATCTATTGATGTGAGTGGATCCAATTCATCCGCTTATGTCTTTTTTATTCAAGTCAGAAAAAATGCTGTGTTTACTACAACCAGTAGTGTTGATGGCCATAAATGCAGAGTGTTTAAATTCCATTTTATTTTTGGCTATTTCACCTCCTGTGTGACCTTTCTCCATGAGCCTGGCTTCCAATAGTTGCTTATTTTTTAATCATAGTATGAACACTTGAATGAGTGTTTACTTGTTGATGTGTTTAATTTTGTATAAAATATGGTGTTTTGTACTGGACATGCGTGGTTGGTCGGTCGTATTTTGTTGAATTAACAAGTAAGGGTAGTTTCTCATTAAAAAAGGAGTGTTTGAATTGCGGATCCTTAAGTCTGGTAATTTTAAATTGCTCATCTTGTAACTCGGCGATGGCTCATATGTACATGTGTATGCCCATTTTTGTGTTATTTTGTTGATAAGTGTGTATTATATATTGCATCAAAATTCTACACATCAAGCAGGAACATGAGTATGTCAACAATTGGCTTCATAAACATATGATCCATATACTGATTAATGGTTATGAGTATGTGTAGCTTAATCAACATATCTCTGTAAGACATTCCGTGTGTAACAGATTCTTGTATTTGATTTATTTTCTTAGACTATTGCCCCACCCCACCCCTGATTTTCCAACGCATGTTGGAGTGCTGATTACTCTGTGACTTTTCCTGTGAGAATGGCACTGTTATTGAGCTGAAATGTAATCCAGCACGATATGAGATGATTGGAGATCCACTGGCACTATGTATAAATATGACATGGACAACAATGCCTAATTGTACAGGTGAATACTTTTACACGAGAAAATTTAGGATACGTGGAAAACAATCTTAATTGTTTTACAACCAACAATTAATGATGCATCATCATCAGTGTTTGATTAATGTATTACTTTTTTTTTCAAGAAACTACACTTGAACCAATGACTTCTACAGCTGAATATGTTACTGACATTATATCATTGGAACCAACCACTGATTTGACATCATTAGAACCGACCACTGAGTTCACATCATTAGAACCAACCACTGATTTCACATCATTGGAACCAACCACTGAATTCACATCACTGGAACCAACCACTGATTTCACATCATTGGAACCAACCACTGATTTCACATCATTGGAACCAACCACTGACTTCACATCATTGGAACTGACCACTGATTTCACATTGGAACCAACCACTGATTTCACATCACTGGAACCAACCACTGATTTCACATCATTGGAACCAACCACTGATTTCACATCATTGGAACCAACCACTGAATTCACATCACTGGAACCAACCACTGATTTCACATCATTAGAACCAACCACTGAATTCACTTCACTGGAACCAACCACTGATTTTACATCATTGGAACCAACCACAGATTTCACATCATTGGAACCAACCACTGAATTCACATCACTGGAACCAACCACTGATTTCACATCATTGGAACCAACCAATGATTTCACATCATTAGAACCAACCACTGAATTCACATCACTGGAAGCAACCACTGATTTCACCTCATTGGAAGCAACCACTGATTTCACATCATTAGAACCAACCACTGACTTCACATCATTGGAACTGATCACTGATTTCACATTGGAACCAACCACTGATTTCACATCATTGGAACCAACCACTGATTTCACATCATTAGAACTGACAACTGACTTGATGTCATCAACATTGCCACCTAGTACTGAAATAACATCAATGGGAACAACAACTGATATTACTAGTCCTCATACTTCAACATCTGTAACTCCCCATAAATCTACTACAGATGCTGCAACATCATTTCAAACAACAGCAGGTAAACAAATATTGATTCCTTAATCTTGTAATAACATATTACATTATACTCCTATTGTCATGCAGGTTACCCTTTTGACAAACGTGTTTTAGCTATTTTGAGTTGTTGATAAACAAGGCTATTGTATCATATTAGTAACATCAAGTGTCATGCCATGTTGTTCTGTGTATTATATGTCTATGGTCAGCAATATTTACTTCAAATTCTATTATTGTGATTAATATTTCGTTAAAACGATTCTTCACCAAGCTGTATTTTGTTTGAGTCTTCACACTATAGACATAATGCAACCTTAGTCTCCATTGAGGATATTGTTTCGACAATTTACATATATATCTGATGAATGTTCCTACAATATCAGATTTATTAATATGAGTGTAATAAATCTTATATTGTTGGTCACGAATTTGATATCCTGGTTATTTAATGTATCCATACTTCAATCAGTGTATAAATCTTTATTCTGTGTCCTGGTATTAACATTTAGAGCCAAGTCAATGTAGCAATCCAGGACATCCTCCCAATGGTAAACTGATAAATACAACAAACATATCATTTCCTGCCATACCTGGTACTGAAGTCAGCTATGAATGCTGTGATGGATTTGAAGCTGCATCTGATACTTTGATATGTGTGGAAGACAACGGTGGCGCATTTTGGAAACCGGCGTATCCGGTCTGCATTCCAGGTATGCTCATTAAATTCACCAATTACATCTACATGA